GTCCCCGGACCTGGATTTGAACCGGTGACCTTCTTGCTGAGAGGCATCAGCTCTACCAACTAAGCCACCGTGCCGCCCCAGAGAAATAACATGATAAAATTAACATGTAAACTTAGACTACTTGAGCTATAAAATCAATTTATTGTTTGTTTTATCCTTCCTCTGGTTTTAACTTCAGTTTCTCCATTAATTCCTTCAAATAACTTCACTAAACTGATGTCTGACTCAGTTATCAGATGTGTCCAGTAGGTGGTAGATTCTGAGGGTTCTTCACCTTAGATCAGGTGAACTTGCAGGTGGATAAATCTTATGTAGATATCATGTCAATGACCTGAACTATTACACAGAACAAGGTGCTGGGCGGGTATTATAACTGTATAAATACCATTAAAGGCTGAAGATAAATGTAGTGTGTTCTGGTCCGATGTGAAAGAACAGCTTACCCAGAGACTGGTAGAGCTCGGTCATCTTGGGATGATCCCAGCATGTTGTCTGGGTCTGGTGGCTGGAATCAGACAGAGAAGAGAGAAGAGAGGCTACAATTAGATCAACGTGTCAAACCAGTGGTGGGCATGGCTATGCTGGTCAGCTAACAGCTAACAGCAGACCTGATATTTTCCTTTAACAGATTAGCTTTTCTGCTAACTTTGAAAACGCTTAGCAGACCAATTAGTTTTCACTAAATGAGGTGTTGCCAACTTTAAGTCTGCTAACAGCTAGCTAACAAGCTAACATCAACAGGTTTGTGTCAGTCCCACCAGTCTGCAGCTGGAAGGAGACAAAGACGTGACTGAGAGACAGTCGTCTTAGTTAGCTGTTAAAGCTAGCTTCTGCAAAGATTTTTTTTGTTTAGCTGTACAGTGTTCACTTCCATTAAAGGTTTAGAGTTGGTGAAGCTAAAATTTTAGTGAGGACATTACGAGTTAGTGAGGCTAACTTTTAGTTAGCTGTAGCATCACTGAGTGAAACAGAACCATCTAATTCTAAACCACTTCAGACTTCAAGACCAACGTTTCAAACAACCGTACAGAAGTACAAGTTTCAGAAGTGTCACCACTTTGGCAAGGTTTTGAGGAAAAGCCAACTGTAATGAGATTAATGAAAGCTGGTGAGGATGTTTAGGACAAACCCAGGAACCACCTGGGGGAAACTGCTGGACCACCACAGGGTCACAGTACAGCCAGTTAGATGTCACCACAGACTGAAGGGCTCGACACACAGGGAGCGACAAACTACAGCGATTAACGGCTGTCATCGCAGCCAGGGG